CTCCGCTCGATGACCTAGACCAAATCAATCGGAGCTCTATGTGATGTATCTGGGCTGCTAGTAGCATCCTTGCTAGCCTTTTTTTCTGGCTAGCTCTGCAGTACTTCTGCAAATCCATGTTTTCGTACTTTTGTTGCTTCAGCACCTCCCATAGTGCGTCTGGATACAGGTTAACCGCTGTTGGATCAGCTGTACCCTGGTTTTTGAAGGCTCCCATTCATTGCTGACTCCACTCTTTTCGAGCTAGCTCTGGAGCAGTATATGCCACATGGTCCAAGCAGTGCACTAATACATCCAAACGCCTTGTTGAGTCCATTGTACAAGAACAGCGTCCGTCATAATACCCAATACAAAACTCCGGCGATCGAAACTGCTGTAAGAGGGCTACTAATGCCTCTGGGTCCTTGCTGACGACGTCTTTCCAGCCTGCCGTGGTCATTGGGAGCTTCGGGAATTCATTGGAACCTTTCCACGCGTCAATCAGCTGATTCCAATAAATTTTCAATAATGTCTGCTGCAGTCTAGAGGTTTCCTGCGTAGAGTTAAAGCGTCCAATTCCAGTGACTTTAGGAGTCTTTTCCGGTCCCCTTCCGGTCCCTTGACCTCCTCCATAATGGTATCTTGTGATAACCATTCTGACTCTTGTTCCGAACTAGCAGGTGTTTGCATATAAAGACTCAGTATCTTCTTCTTGTTGTCTTTCTTTACATTTTTCCAGACTCTCCGTAATTATCTCGTGAACGTAGCCCATCGTTTCACGGAATCCCCCTCCTGCAGTTAAGCTCTTTTATTCACGGCGTTTCCTGTGTAGCCAGTAGACCAGCGATCTGAGCGGTTTTTAATTCATTTTTGCGAATTCCTCCAAACCTGTTGTCTTCCTCCTGTTTACGACTTGCTGTGGCCTACCCCCCCCCCCCCCATGGCGCGTCTGCAATGGAGACATTCTCGACCATTATCGCCTCCTTGCTGCTTTGCAGTGCCTATACTGCGTGAACCACATAACTTTGGTAGCTTGTCTGTGGTAGTTCTCCCGGTGGTTCTTCCATCTCATCAATCTCCATTGGGGCTACTTCAGTTTTACTTTCATCCAGTGACGCTCCGTCCTCCCGTTTGGCAAATCTGAACCAAGTGTAATGCTCTGATTGAAATAAGAGAACAATCGGGCCGTGAGTAGGCGTGTCTTCCGTTTGAAGACCTGCTTGAATATCTTGTACTACTAGTATCCAGTCCTCTGGTGTTCCACTGCGTTTCTTTCACTGTCATGTAGGCTCACCATTACTGTTACTTTGAGCTGGGTAGAAAATCTGGAAGCTTGATGTCTCCAGCCCAGATGATGCCACGACCACATAGATCTTCTTACTCAGGAATTTTTAGATCATTCTCAGCGTCACTTCTAACCCCAGGAGCATCGATCAATGCGGTCCTCTCGTTTGAACGTTGTCTGCCCTATCTCCTGTAGATATATTTTCATTGCCCGTTCCGATTGCTGCGAAGTTGGCCTCTCTTTTACCGGTTCAATTGTACTGACAATGGCCTCTCTTATGCCATGGGGAAACTCTTGCTCGAACAAATGGCTCGAGGCCGCGACTATACTTTCTTCAATTTACCCGTCAAGTCCTCAATCGCAATTTTGTTGTCGGGTGTGTCGAATCATTTCTGTAGTAAAGCCATTGCGATTGCGTAGTATCGGCAATTGCCCGTAGCTGGTGTTGGCACCTCTTGAAGTCCACAACGCTGCAGCACCTCTCGTCCAGTCCATTGCCTCACTTCTTTCAGTTTGATATCCCGGTAGGCCTCTGTTGGCCCCTATCCAGTACGTCCGCGTTGACCTGGATTTGCTTCTCAATGAGATTTTGCTGCTTCTCCATGGCTGGTGACTTTTCCTTCAGCTTGTTTTTGATTTCATCTGAAATATATATACCTAGCTGCTTGGAAGGTTTATCCTGGCTACGTGCTACTGCACATTCTCCTTCTTTTTGTTGCTGTTTCAATACCTCCTTCAGAGATACTCTGCGCTCCCCTAGCGGAGGCCCTGCGTCCATGTTCGGGTGATCTTTTGAACTGTAGTGTGGCTTTTCCTCCCCTGTCGTCATTTTTGCGGCCCAATTTTTTTTTGCTGACTACCTTGAGACTTGTTCTTTGTAGCTTTGGATTGCCCTTCCGTTCTCCATCTCGATTCTAGTCGGTCATCGCGTCCACTATTTTCTTCAGCGGTTTTCGCTGTCAGCGCCACTTCCTCCTATTTTCGTGAAAGAATCCATTTGATCGATTTGTTTCTGTCGGTTCCTCTTGTATGTGGTCCGACATCGTAATCTCATCTACCCAATACGATCTTCCAGACTGGTTACCGTAGACGCTTGTGGGGGTAAACTTTCGATTTCCTCTGCTGAGACTACGATGCTGTAGTTATTTTTCCTAAAAATTGTCTTGTACCTTGCAAGCTGTGCGCAAATGACCGTTTCCTCCACACGAGAAGTAAGGAGAGACGCGGTGTTTGCTCACGTGGTGCACAAGTACCTTTCGTCCAGCCCACTTAATGAACCTTTTCCCTTTCTGAAACTGGGGGCAGTGGGGCTTTTGAAGAAAATCTCCCAAGTATCGGTCTGCAAATCTTGATTGGGCTCTTGCCAAGTCGTGTTTACACCTGCGAATTTGTTGGATGAATGCGTCTATCGCCACTTCGTCCATAAACCGTGCGATATTGAGTAGTCGAACATAGTATTTGTCATGAGGTTGCTCATTTCTGATGCCATCTGCACCTGTTTGTCGCCCCTCATTTGTGTGGCTCTCTGCACGTGGGCCTCCGACAATGGTTCTTCATCCTGATGCGCGGTTTTGAGAGAAAATCTTTTATTAGGGAAAGCCAAGGTCGTAAGCTCGTTGCCCCACTTAGTACCCATCTCACGCGTCCAGCAAATAATATGTACGGTCTGATAATCCTAGTCATAGCATATTTGCTTTGCTTGAGCTACCTTCTCTGGGTCATTTCCGCTGTTTCGAATACCCAAACCAAATGTGTTGGTTAGGTGACGTCGGGACTGAAATTTTGGGTAAATATTAACCTCCGGACTGAGCATCAGCATTAGATCCCCCTCCATATGGACTCTGATCGTGTTCTGTACCACCCGTAGAGTTACATTGGTTTAGACGCGCTTCAGGAAATCCGGTAACTTAGCTAGACAAAGGAGGGTGCCTTCCAGGATACCCTTTATCACTTTCCACTCTAATTTTGACGGGGGGGCGGAGACGACTGGAAAAACCATATCGCATCTCACAGATTCTTCGTAGTTCGTCAATTTCCTTTGGCCCGTAGCTACTGGTTAGAAACCGATAGGTAGATGGTGCGGCTCTACCATTCATTTCATTATCCTCTTCCTGCATTGGAGCGCTTTGAGCTATCCGCTCCATCCATGGATTCGCAGACTGCTTCGGCTTAGCCTTTGCAGCCCGCACGTTCACTTCGATTGTTTCCACCAAGGATCTAATTGATTTGTATATAGTCCGTGTAAGGTCTAGAAGACGCGCTCGCCATTTTCGGGCATTGGGTGTGTCATCCTCGATCTCTGTAAAAACTATCGCATTAGCTGGTCCATCTTCTCCACCTGAAGCTCCGGATAATGCTTTCGGTCCGTTGGGATTGGTTCAGCAGGTCTAGCTGTGAAAACCTTTTGAAAGAGATCTTGCATGAACTCCTTTACGCTCTCAACCTCAAGCGCTTGGTCCAATTCAAGCCCTTTTAGCTCGCTTCTGAGATACTCGTACATTTCCGTTTACGTTAGCGGCTCTATGTTGGCGACATCGAACAGTAATGTCCTTGAATCTGTCGATGTGGAGCCCCTGTCTACCTTCTCTTCCATACCTTCGGATCGTTGCTCGTGACCCCCCCCCCTGGTAGCATCTGCCTTTCTGGATGGGTGCTGCCGTAGCCACGCCCTCAGGTTCTGATAGTGCAAACCGCACGTCGTCTGCGGTTTTTGGCCCCGGCGGGGCTCCGCCCGGCGGTTCCAGATGGTCTTCCTTGGCGGTGCGCTCTCTCGCTGAGAATATCGCTTCCTCCAAATAAAAGGTCGATTAGCCAAGTCAAGTGAAACTGCTCTGCAATCAGTCGCTTTCTGCCCTTTTGTGTTTCTTCGCACCCTCTCTTTAGGAAAGGGCTCCCCTCGATCACGTCGTAACTTTCGCCACGCCGCGGTTTTTGTACAAATTCGGAAGTGAACCCCGGTACAGCCCAATAAGGATCAATAAAATGATGTAATATGTGGTCCACTGAAAAATAGGTACTACGTCGATTCAAGTAAGTGCGCTCATATTCTCCAGTTTCGCATCTCTTTCAAAATTTAATACCCTTCCAAAAAAATAAACAAAGAGCAGAAGTATTATTTAAATGAGAAAATGTCTCGGCAACAGCGTTATATTAGCAACATAAATCGACACCAATTTTATTCTTTCAAAGCTGCCCTGCAACAGTCTTACGTTACATTGCGGAGTACTATTACTGTATTTCCGCGAAGCAATACCAGCCAAGTTCGCCAAGAAAACTTGTATCTAACACGACGCAAAGGTATACACTTAAGGTAGACAGCTTATAAAAAGAGCGGATTGCATCATATGATCACAAGTATAAAACTACGAATAGTTTCGCTAAATCAGTACAAGTGTCGATCGCTTTTACAAGGGCATTAACTATATTAGGGTTGGACGAGGTAATTAGTGTTACGGTCGCCGAACAACTCGCTCATGCTGAATTCGTCAGCGATCTTTATTGTAGGACAAGAAGCCGCTTAGCCCGCGAAACATGAATAGGGGGGGGGGGGTAGAATTGGCATGCAAGCTGCACGCCAATACCAGGTAGTCGCTGGTGATTGATATAGCGTGAGCGTATAATTCCGGATATTACTTGTGTATTTGAAGTGACAGGTCGTTAGGTACCGGTCGATGCTAAGCGCTTAGCTCGCGTAACATGAATGAGAGAGGTAACCAGGCAGTTACCGGGGGAGGTAACCAGGTAGCCGTCGGTGACTGAGATGATAGAAGCGTATAATAACGGATAGTATTAAAACTAGTGTATTTGAAAGGCGTCATATACGTCCACCTCCTTGGGTTGGGTAGTCTACGGCTGTTCATGGAGTACGGTCTCGTTCAGTGCCCTGGTAGCATGCACCAGGTATTAATAGTTGGAAGAACGACATGTCACACTTCATGCAACATTGGGTACACCTCCCGTATCCGTTACAAGCTGCTTATCGTAAACGGCTCCTTTTGCCTTTTTTACATAAACATTCACAATACCAGAACGTCTAGGTTTGAGTAATGCAAACCCTACCTCGGATAAATTTCTGTGCGGAAACGCTACTACTTATTGATACTTTTCTTTGAAAAGTGAGCACTTGCTCCGTTTACATTGTTGCTGTTACGAAATCTTTCTTTTTACATTGTAATGAAGAAGTGCTGGATCCGCCAATATTTTCTCCAGTGGTAGAAAAAAACACAATTTTTCTCGTCAGTCAGCACAACGTTTAATCTGACATTTGGTGCCGTTTGCAGCACCAAATGTTTGCTGTTGTTTAATGTAGCTCATAAACAACAAGCACTACGATGGCTTTGGACCAAATGACACTCATACAAGGCAACAAGTGAAGTGGCGGCACATTTTGCACAGTGATGCATTCCTGCTGTTGCTGGTTAAGGTTCGCCTGGCACTTACCATCGACGCCAGTGGCGACTTTGCAGCTGCGCGACCACAAGTTGGCGTGGCATTCGACCTGAGCTTGGCGTCCACAGCACAGAATGGAGGCTACAGTATTTCTAGTAAGAAAGCAGAGTTTTAGGAGCTTGCTTTAAAGCGGTGATATCTCCATCACGACCACACTTGCAAATGTTATTTTTTTTATTGTTTAAAGGTCCATTCCAAGCTGAAAGGAGGTAGCTGCAGCACTCTCCCCGCGTGAGAGGTCACTTCACCGGTTTTATCTACGACGATGAAGGCTTAACCAACTTTTTCAGCTTCTCTGCCTTCTTGGCCAACTCGATGAGTTTTTTCATGTCTACGTCGGGTGTCTTGACGAATTTGGCGGTACCATGGGTAACAGCTTTCCAGATCCCTCCATACCCGTCGTTGGGGCGGCCGCTCTGGACAACTTGTTGGCCTGCAACCCGAAGAGATCTGTTGACCTCAAAGTCAGTAGATGCCTTCGACGGGAACTGAGACTGAGACGCATCGGGTTTCAGGAACGCTGCGACGACGCTGCTTTCAGATAATACCACGAAGACAAGAGCGACGTAGAGAATACTGCGCATGACTGTGGAGAGGACCGCTGGAAAGAAGGATCTTGTGGTCTTGAAAGGAAAATGCGAAGTGACTGCCGTCTAGATGCCAGACCGAAGGAAGACGTGACTGCATTGTATCTGATGATCAGCGGCTGACGGCATGACAACGTTTTCCAGAACTCCTTCGCTGAGAAAGTTTATGAATTGTAGGCTCGCAACTGACAAAAATGGTTCCATTCCGAAGATATCCCGTCTTATTTCAGTTTAACAGGACTCGACTTGGCAATACAGCATCAATTCTGCTATCACTAATTGATCAGTTAAAAAAACTCATCGAAATGATCGCATTAGCATAGGTTTTGAGCGCTTGTCCTGATGCGGTCAATTTCGTAAAATGAAAACTCAGCTCAAACCAAACACGGTGACCAAATACACTAATCTAACGCCAATAATTAAGGATGAAGTCTGGTCTGGCTAACCTCGCAGAGAGCGATCTTATTACGTTTATTAAGTCTCCCGCCAGAAGAGAATGACTTGGCGTGGATGTCCATTTGCGATGCCTCGTTGGGCAAGTCTCTGTTTGAAAGTAGTAGATAAGTTCATGATCAATCATGAGGCTCGTTGTCCAACGAGGAGTATAAATTGTGTCAGCGAGGAGTTTATTAATCGATCATAAAAAATAGCATGCTACTGTACACTGAACACTTTGGTTTGCTTGGTTCAAATGGCCTCTATGACGTGTAAGTACTACTTTCTGTGTGAATTTCTAAGAACACTTCGTCACACAAATTTGAATCAAACCACATGATTTTCGCTGAGGACTTCAAATAATCCTCGCCCCCCTGATTAAGTGTAGCTTGCACCTCGTATACCCTTTTATATCGGATCACTTAGATTCAATGTACCTCGGACAAATCACCACAAGATCGCAGTAAGTTGCCTATGAAAAATTAAAAGATCCAATGGAGCCGAGATTACTTAGCAGACTATGTTTATCTTTCAAAATCTGAAGGAAGAGAAGCCCACTAAATAAGTTTTTTTTAATTGCACTTTGAATGTTCACGAGTTTTTGTTGTTGTTGTTGTTGAGCTGAAGCCGTGTGTCTCACTGATACCGCATCGGGAAAGGTGTAATGTAGCTTTTCAGGAATCAATCTCTGATTTCAAGACAATCCCCGGGACTGATCAATGATTCCCGGCACTGATCACTGAACAACCCCCCGCTACCGATCATAGATGATTAAAGGTGCCTGGTACTGATCAATGATTCCCGGCACAGACCATTGTTCGGTCAAGCTCATTGATCTAGTGCTATCGGCATCCGATGTAAACGCGGTTCTACATCCCGGACGTCCGTGGCCGCAAACGACGTCGTGATACACCGTCTCGATCTGATACAAATGTTTATGGAATTAATCCATAAGATGTGGAAATTTCGTGTTGGATATTGTGGCTGTATTTTCTTAAATATGGAAAAATTTCAGGGTGCAAATCGGGGATCCAGTCGCGTGTAGATCTCAAAGACTGTGGGTGGGTTCTCTTCCGTGTGAGCTTCAGACGGACGCACCACGACCCACACTGTTTCAGCCAAAGCCAAGCGGCGAGCTCGCACTGACTTGCTGCTGAAAGGTCAGCATGTTGCGGATAGAAGAAGGGCACGGGGATGATCAAGATGTTCGTACGCGAACTCGACACCCCCCACGCGCAGACGGACGAAGCGATCGAGACCTCGGACGTAAAACACTCCTTCTCTCTCATGTACAAGCGAACGTGGAAGTGAAATTAGGGCACTAATTTCCAAGATCCCAATGGTACCGGTAAATGTGGCTTTGCCCGACTTCAACTTGACCAAATCGTGTCTTCGATATTTGGCATTTTTATTTTAAAGTTATAGTCACATGAGCAGTTTGTCGAGCAGGACGTCCCGCATAAAAATCGGACGCCACTCTCAAGAGACGTCCAGTCGACGTCAAGGGTCGGGACATCGACAGTATATCAATGATTGATCCAAGTTGGATTCCAACGGTTAACACTGACAACGCGATGGTACTACCACAGCGGGAAATGATTTTCTGATTCAGTACCGGCTTTCTTTTAAGCCGTAAGAAAACACAACATTCACTTCACGATTTCCTCTGAAGACCGCAAGACCTTACAAAAGTACATGGATGCTGTCATGCGCACTATAATTTACGCAGCTCTTGCCATCGCTGTTTTGACTCGAAGCAGCGTCGTCGCATCGCTCTCGATTCCCGCCGAGTCTCGACCTCAGTTCTTGCTGAAGGCATCTCCTGACTCTGCGGCCAAAAGATTCCTTCGGGTCGCTGTCAAGAGTCGACCCCTGGACGAAAACGATGAGATCGCGAAATTCGTCATCCAGATAACTAACAAAATCAGCAAGAGGTCGGATGGTGATAAAGACTTAAAGACATTAATCAAGCTGGCCAAGAAGGCGATGTCGGCGAAACAAGAGAAAAAAAGCGGTAAAGCCCTCATCTTCGTAGATGATCCAGTCGAGAAACCTCGGAGAGTGAATACAGCTACCCAGAGGACGAAAAAAAATATGATTTAATAAATAACTGGGTACGTCGATACTAGTCTTTATTATTGGAAGCTGCCAAGTCCAATGCAAAACGATACTGGATCATTAATTGGTAATTAACAAGATAAATAGCTAGAATCTGGCTAGAATTGCATTGTCCATCAAATTTGCTGGCATCCTTGCTGGTGCCCTCTACCCACATGCCTGTCCCCCTAAAACCGATGGCCATTGACGCTCGTTAGGGCCACACTGCTTTTTTTTACATACTTTGATTTGCGTTTTCTTTAAACATCTACCTGTGTATTAAATGCGTGTAACATGGTGCAAAAAAATATCGAACCAATTTTAGCAAGTACGGTACCAAAAATACCACACTTAATTTCACAAGTATTGCAAGAAATGATACAGAAATTTATATCTAATTGATTTGAGAGCTAAGTAATTAGTGTTTCAATTTCCGAAACATATAGCCTGTTTTACTTTTTAAAATGCTATCGCCCATGCGCATGTATTGTCCAAGTTGTAAAATTATCAACTCGTAATCTAAATATTACGGGTCGTGTAATATCCATGTATTATACATGTAATGCCCATGTTTCTAATCCGTATTAAAACGTAAGAAAATATCAATATACCAGTATAATAAGAACTATCGCAGAAACTCTCTTTGCTTTTGAAAATCTATCAAAGCTCAGACGCGGAGCTTCCGACACTGCCCCCGCCGTACGTTCCCTCGCCGCCCTCCCCCGCCCTCCCTCGCTTCATAATGACGAATAGCAAGTCTGAAGGACCCCGCCGGACCCCCCCCCCCCCCGCGCCCACTTCACTGCCAATGCCGCCCTCGCCCTCAGTCAGAGTTGTGCTGTAAACACCCTGCATGCGTACATATGTCGGTGCTCTTCACTGCGTGCACGTACGTATCTTGCACAGTGTAATGGGATACGTAGCCCCATGTGTTCATCTACTTACATGTAGTGTGACACATCAACACTTCGCGATACCTGGTACATGATACCTGGGTCATCAGAGGCCAACAATTGGCTGATAGCATAGCTTTAGGTTAGGTGACTTATAGTTTGTAAATTTAGCTCCAGCTTAGCCAACTTATAAATACATTCATTTTACAACTCACCTTAAACTAGTGACTTCGCTCCATCAGACAAAAAAGACCTGTGAGCTACTCTTGACTAAGCGTTTGTATCCTCTCGGAAGCCAACTTCCTCTAGTGCAAGGTGCTGTGTGGCCCAGTCACACTTGGTAGCACTTGTAGACAATCCATACCAACGCGGGTAGACTACCTAAACATGTCTGAAGTTCGTCGCCATGGATAGGAACGACTTCTCCCATCTGAACGACTCACAGTTCGAGTCGGCTCGGAAGATGACTGGCATCTTCGGTATGGAGTTCCTGCATGGTGTGGGAACGTCAACACCGGCCGAGAAGCTCGAGCGTGTCAATGCGTTTAACGCCTACGAGCGCGGTCCCATCGCACCTGTAGGGTCTGACAGCGAAAACAAGTCCGCCACACCCGAACCCAATACGGCTGAAGATGAAGCCGTATGAGGTGAAGGGAGGGGAGAACTTTCACTTCTGTGTTCGAGAGGTAGGGCCCGCGATGGACACGGCTCCGATCTCGACCGAGCAGCGCCGTGCTGCTTTTAAGTTCCCTCACCTTAACGGTCGTGCTAAGCATTGGGCGTACCCGCAGGAGGCGACATCGCCTGGATGTTTCACGTCCTAGGATCAGACGCGCGTTTCCCGGGAACTACGTGCATTGGCAGCGTTCGATCTTCCAATCATACAAGCAAGGGAGGCACGAGCGGCACGGGTACGTCCAAGTGATTCGGGAGATCACGGCGTCCCAAGTGGGCAACCCACTAAACGAACACGTAAAGATGACTGTGTTCATGGACGGCCTTCAAGTGGGACCGGCGCGCACTCAGCTGTTCCGGGTGTAGTCAAGCTACTCGAAGAGGCAACTCAAGTGACTAATCTAGAAGAATACAGCCATCGCCAGGCGTGCACGCCGGCCTAAGCGTGACCAGGGAATTCTGTGCTGAATCTTGGTCGGGCCAACCCATTCGGACCAGTCCGTAAGGAGCTTAGGTCCGCCGAACAGCGCGACATTCGCTGCTTCGGCCGCGGGAATCTGAGCCACTTCAAGCGTGACTGTCCCTCGAAGAGACGCCGCAGGTGATCTTTCCTCAAGCGTGTCCTTAACGGCCGATAGAAGAAGCCAGGATCCCGGGGACAGGGGAGCGCCGGAGACCAGAAGGGGCGGATCGCCCTACTGGTGAAGAACTAAGTCATCGTGAGAGGTGAGCGGTTGGTACATACCACGGGAGCTTAGCCTCTGAGAGTGTTCGCACACTCGAATCGGCGAAGGGCACCGACGGCTGCTCGTAGTACACGGATATGAACGGGGATACAATCACCCCTTCAGAATCTTGTTCGATTCTGGGGTGTTGAAGTATTTCGCACGCTGCCGGACGGTTGCTCGGAATATCAACACGTTTTCCGATGCTTTAAGTGAAAGCAAAGGCACCGGGGCGGTGCGACTGGCCGACGGAAAAATCGTCACTGCCCCCAACATCCAAATGGATCTGTCCGTCAAGATCGAAGACTACGACAGCCCAGAACTGTTTACTGCTCTCAACATGGGTCCCTTAGATTTGATCGTGGGCGCACCCTGGCTCGAGGAGCACGAACCTAGGAGCGACTGGCGTGACAAGGCAATCGGTGCCAGCCGCCCTGTGAAGTCAACAGAGCATTGATGGGTCGTGTTCTCATCTCTATTAGGAAGGGTACCGTAGCATCCAGCAGATGTTTGGAAATCTTCGACGTATATCACGACTCCAAGAACGCTTCGATGGTGGCGGCGCTAAGAGGCGCTGGCCAAGTGGGTATCTTAGGTCCACAAGCCGGTAGCATGGTTACGCATACAGCTGCAGCTGTCACGAACGCTGGTAATAGCATGTCCAAGGTGGGTAACAGAGTCACACACACGGTCGTTCGAAAGAGGTAGACGCGTGATGCGCTTCCTGTGTGGGTAACGCAGTACCACACGAGGCCTCGAGAGCGTCGGATGTCGACATCACGACATTCCTAGACGTGGGTAACGGCATTCCACGTCACGGTCGCCGTCGACGACGTCGCTTCAAGCGATTCGGAGTCCAGGGCCCGGAATCATCCGACACGGCCGGTGGAAGAGTGGTATCATATATTTGATGGTGAGACCGGTTTACCCGTCAAGGCATCTAGTGTCCCCTTGAAGCCGTTGGAAGAGGCTTCTGAGATATTAAACCTCGTGGAAATGACGGCCGAGTCTTTACTGGACATCGCAAGGCTGAGGCGATTGCCGAGATGGTTCTTATTAGACCAGAGGCCACTGGGGACGAGTTGAGCTCCGCCTCTGTCTTCGACGTTGACGTCCTTGAAGAGTTGAGCAAGCATTGCCAGACGCGTTTGGGCTCCGAGATCCTTAAGAATCTCAAGGATCCGGTGTATCCTTTAGTGACAGAGTATGCGGACGTGGCGAACAAGGACCCACCGACCTAACTCCCACCGGATCGTGGCGTACGGCAGGCGCTCGATCTCGTGCCTGGCACAAAGTACTGTGTCACAAGACAATAGCCTTTTCGACGCAAACAGAGCGATGTCATCGATGCCTACTTCGCTGCTATAAGCGAGCGCAGGCATGGTGCGGGGGTCGAAGTGCCCGCCAACACTCAGCGTTATGAAGCCGAACGCGAAGTGGCGTCTAGATCAAGCTTATAACAAGCTGAACAACTCGACGGTGCCGGCCCATACACCAATCCCACCAAAGGATGTGTTGTTGAACAACATGGCCGGAAGCGTACGGTACAGTGCGCTGGATTTGATAGACGGATACTACCGGATCCTGATGCGCGAGAGCGACATCCCGCTCACCGCGATGAGCACTCTAATCGGCATGCTTTAGGAGTGGCTCGCTATACCGCAGGGTTTGTCAAACGCTCCGGCGATATTCAAACACCTGGTGACGCAACAGTTCTGGCCATTGCGTGCCTTCGTACAAACTTTGACGACAGATACGCTCATAGCCGCTCCGCGAAATGCACGACGGCTGTGGAGGCGCATTTGGGGCACCTCCACCAAGCTCACAAACACTCTACACACAAACCAACCGGCGATGTTGGACGTGATGCGTGCGAACTGGCTCTTCGCCAACAGCGACAAGTGCGTCTTCGCGTCACCAGAGATCAAGGGTCTTGGATGCTATGCCAGCAAAGTCGGCGCTCGAGTTGACTCAGACAAGGACAAAGTCATTCCAGCATGGCCGACGCTCGAGGTTAAAGGATCGTCGAAAGTGGTAGTCTTGGCCAACTACTTTAATCGGTACAGTGCAGTGTACGCGGATTTCGCTAAGCCCTTGTCAACCCTCCTTTAGAAGGACGCCGACGGGACCAGGATGATTTTGATAGCATCAAGGCCAGTCTCCAAGCAGCTCATGTCCTGGTCCTACTTGACGAGATGAAGCCGTCGTCTGCGATGCCTCCGACTTTGCAATTCACTGCGCATTGCTGCAGGCCGACACAGCTGGACACGAACGAATCATCTCGTTCCAGTCCAGGCAGCTCAAACCCGATGAACGGAACTACCCTGTTCACGCCAAGGAGCTCCTGGCACTGAAGTATGCATTGGTTAGGTTTCGGGCTCATCTTCTGGCTCAAGGTCCTTTGAGATCTACACATATCACACATCCTTGAGGATGGCGACGAATTCGCCTCATTTCTCCCAACGGATGGCAAGGTGACTGCTCTTCTTCGCGGTGTACAGCTTCTGCGTTGAGTACAAACCGGGCAAGCTCACCGTGCTTGTGGACATACTCTCTCGGCGTTGAGTTGGCCCACATTACAAGGGTGACAAGGGATCTATACGATCGGATACGCGTTTCGTATCGGGGAAGTAAGGCTGTCGTCAAGTCCCTAGCAGCGGGAACGAACGCAAAGTCCGATCGGCTTTCGTCGCCACAGCGTTCCCGGCACCAC